ATTGACCACGCGTCCTCTCGAGGACGCGTGGTCAATGGTCTAACCGCTAAGGCATGCAAAACATAAGAGTACGCCCCCCCCCCCCCCTCCCCTACCCCACGCCAACCCTCCGTTCATAGACAAAAAGAGCAGAGGGCCGCTCCAGGGAGGCTTGCCCAAGACGTCCGGATACGAGCGCACCGGCGAGAGCTACGAGGCGATGTTCAAGGGGCTTCAGGGGGGGATCGGGCTGTAAGGCCTGTGTGCTGCTGCTTTGGCCAGTTCACTCTCACGGCTCTTTCTGAAATATCTCTGGACGTGGAACACTTTAGAATCATGCGCCGTTGAACTTGATGCGGTCACGTTTTCAAAACCATTGGTAGCAGTCGCTAGGAGGGCTGTCTAGACACGTTATTGTATGCGCTCCCCCGAAGGCTTTTGAGTATGCAACGGTTGGGGTATGGGGGCTGTATAGACACACGTTTGTAGACGCACACCCCGAACTTTTGGATATGTGGAACGGTTGGGGTTTGGGACTGTTTAGACATCCGTGGGGCTACGTGACCTCTTCTTCCCCCAAGAGAATATAATCAAGGTAGCATAGCGAGCGTTAGTATACCGTGTGCGGGCACGACAGAACCGAGTTTGCCCTTTAAATGCGCAACCGGGAAGCCTTTCGTTTGCGGGAGCCCTGGAACCTTGGTTGGTTCTGAATGCTGTTCTTTTTGTATGTGGCGAAACTTATTCCATGCCGCTTTTGTAGATCTGTTGCAGCAGAAGGTACGACTCCATGAGCGTAGTTTTTTAGCGTTTAGCCGTTCGCACGGATACGAATTTTCACGGTCTACAGGTTAAAACACCAAACGAATATAGAATTGAACATTAACACCCCGCACCTTCCGATTCGTTTGTTGTGCGATGGCGATCCAATAGAGTCCGGAGGATAGGGGGAAGAGAAGGGTTTTCTCGTGGTGGGCAATGTTTTGAGCCGTTTTGTGCTTGGGGAACGTTGGAAGAGGCAAATGCTCTGCGTCCTCCTACCGCTCTTTGCCTCGGGATATTCTATCTGCCTTGGAAGAACATGTTTTCCCGAACAGGCCTGCAGTTTTAGAACCTTTCGCTGATGTTGTTGTTGGCGTGTAGCGACAAGACTAACTCGGGCTCGGTTTTGGGACACATGGCCAATTGAAATCGCACGACGAACAAACGAATCCGCACAACGTTGCCCGTCTTGTTACTACATGTACGCGCTCACCCTCCGACACCAGCCAACTCCTTAAGAAGTTTCGTGTCTCTGCTTGGCTCGTGTGGAGGGCTTGGGCATCCAATAACGGTTCCATCACGAAGCATCATCAGTCGAAAGCAAAGAAAAACATCGACACATGAACATCATCCCACGCAGCAAACGGCAACTTGCACATCAACCAACCACGAACACCCAATTAAAATCACCTGCGGTTGGTGGGCAAACTACTCTCTGGCAAATCTTCCTTGTCTCCTCGTCAACATGGGCACAGGTCTCTCTGCATGATCATACGTGATTCATACGTTTTCGTTTGCATGGCGACACGGCGGTACGGATCTCCATGAAGCGAAACACTCACTCCCTTACGACAAATATCTGCAGCAAACTAGCTATGCCCTCCGTCCTCCAGCTATCGCAAGAAGCCGGGAGGGCCCACATACGATGTCTCGTTTGGACTCGAACCCGCCTTGCCCTCACCGCTATTATAGTAGAGATACACACAGAGCGTTGTTGCGGGCTTCCCAGCGTCCGCAAGGTGTTATCATCCCGTACCATCAAAAACTCCCTACACCAACACGCTAGCTACCGTTTTCGGAACGCCAAGACAACCGCCCACCTGTCTCTGTCGGATTTTTTCTAAAACAACGCAATTCTTGCAGCTGCCGAGACAAAACGCACCCACACTCTAAAAACACGCACGTTGTGATACTAACATACTTCAGGGGCGGCCTTGCCCTCCCCCCAATTCCTCGCCAGTCGCCCCCAAACGTTTCGTGTCGTCGGGTACCGAGAAAGGAGAGCTACACCTATGCATAGTCTATACATCCAGTACAGTACCACCGCGGAACCACACCACATCGTCCTGAGTCTCGTCGCCGCTGTTCGCTACTCCCGGCGGTGGTCTTGTCACCTTCCTCGGTACTAGTGCTACCCGACGTGCCGCATTTTCTCTCACGAGGAGAACAAGACGGCACCAAGCACTTTACTGCTGTCTCGTCTTGGCGTAACAACTCAAGGCCAGCCAACTTGTTTTCCACCGTGCCACACGGGCTGTGATTTCGCGCGGAGGAACCGCACAGTCCGCAGACACAACCAGACCAAATCTACTCCCTCACAGAAACCCCACGACGGTCCGAAACAGCCCCTCCTCTGACACCCCAACCAGCCACGCCACCACGCCGTCCAAGTTGTCCTTGGCACCCCCCCGGTCCTGCCCTTCACGCCCACCATCGGAGGTGCCACTGGAGTCTTCTACTACCACTACCCCTCCATCCCGCCGTTTTTCGTCCTTCCTTTTCTTTTCTTTCCCAGAGCTTCGCTCTTTCTCTTTCTTTAGGCGAGCGCAGCACAAAATCACCAACCTGCGGCGACGCCACGCCCGGTCCGCCGGAGCTCGCGCCAGCAGGTACGCCACGACTTGCGCCGGCAGCTCCAGCACGGGGAGGAGGGCGGGGTCGACGGAGTCGAACAGGCCGACGGCGGCGGCGGAGCCGACAACGCTCGCGGGGGTGAGGCCGCTGTCGTTCTTCTTCCCCTCGTCGGCGCCGTGCAGGAGAAGCTCCTGGACGATCTCGACGGCGCCCTGCACCCCTGCCTGGCGAACCGCGACGTGCAGGGGCGTGTCGTTGTCGTTGTCCGCGTCCCTCGCGTGGACGTCGGCCCGGTGCTTCAGGAGCACCCGCACGACCTCGAGGTGGGTGTCCTCGGCCGCCGAGTGGAGAGAGGTCCAGCTCTCGTCGACGAGATGGGCTTCGACGTCCGCCCCGGCCTCGGCGAGTGCGTCCACGGCGCGGGGCTTGTTGCTCTTCACGGCGCAGATGAGGGCCGTCCTGCCGTCGCCGTCCCTCGCGCCCACGGGCGCGCCGGCCCGGATCAGCGCCGTGATGGCATCGACGTGGCCCGCGCCCGCGGCCAGGTCGAGAGCGTTCGGTTGGTCGTCGGGGACCCCGGCCACGCGGAGGGCGACGTCCGCGCCAGCGGACAGGAGGGCCTCCAGCGCTGCGAGTCGGTCCGGAGAACCGGCCGCAAGATGCAGCGGCGACCTCCCTAGGCCGTTCGCCTTGTTCACGTCGGCCCCATGCCCCACGAGAGCGGCAACCGCGGAGGCGGAGTTGGCGGCGGTGGCGGCGTGGAGCGGGCTGGAGCCCAGGATGTCCGCGGCGTCGAGGTTGGAGCCGCACTCGACCAGCAGGTCAATAGAGGCGACCTGGTCGGATTCTCCCGCCAGGTGGAGCGATGTTGTCTCGTTCGGTGGATCGGCGGTGTTCACGTCGGCGCCGTGCTGGATCAGCGCTCGCATTACGCCCACGTGACCGTTCTTGGTGGCGATGTCAAGGGCGCTACGGTTGTTTTCGTCGCATCGGTCCGTGATGCTTGCGCCGGCAGCCAGGAGAGCTTCCGCCGCACCCGTAGACCCAGCTAGGGCCGCAACTTGCAAAGCTCCGCCTTTCTTGCCCCAGGTGTTACTCACGCTAGCCCCAACAGACACGAGCCACTTTATCGCGCCAACCTGATCCGACAATATCGCGGCGTAGAGAGCGTCTCCAACCGCTCGCGTAAACTCCCACCTCGCTTTATCGCGCATATGTGCGCACATTGCTTTTAGCGCGTTCATGTTCCCTAGGGAAGCAGCCACGTCCAAAGGTGAGTACCTGCAAGCAGATACGCAAGAAATATAGGTTGGGTCCGAGCCCCACCTCAGAAGAATTTCCACGGTGGAGTCATGACCGTACTGCACGGCGAGGTGAAGAGGTGTGTGGTTGCTGGCGTCGCGGCCAAACAGCAACGCGTCGTGGGTCAGGAGGGCAGAGACCGCCTCGTTGGAACCATAAGCGCAGGCGACGTGAAGGGCCGACCACCTGTGGCGGCCGGGGGAACGGGCTTCGACCTTAGCGCCCGCCTTGACGAGCACATCAATGGAGTACGGCTGGTCGTTCAAGGCGGCGAGGTAGAGCGCGGTAACGCCGTCCGAGTCGCTGGCGTTGACGTCACACCCATGCCGGATGAGCATCTTCAATATTTGCTGGTGACCCCCGCAGGCGGCTAAGTCAAGCGCGCTGTACTCATCGCTGCCATAACGACGGTCTACAAACCCTGCGTTGTCTTCTTCGGACGCATGCAAGAGAACCGTGGCCGCCGTGAGGCGGCCGTTCTCCACCGCTACGAACAGAGGTGAGCGGCCATCACTGTTGACCTTGCTTTTTTCTGCCCCGCCGTTCACGAGAGAAACAATGGCAGTCGTAGCGCCATTCTCAGCCGCTACATGCAGCGGGGTACACCCTCGGCCGTCTGAAGCTTCCAGACGAGCTCCAGACGCAATCAGAAGTTCCACAGCGCCCGCCTGATCCCAGAACGAAGCGCAGTGTAGGGCCGTTCTGCCGTCCGGCGTGGCGGAGTTGACATCGGCGCCGCGTGCGAGGATCGTCTTGATGGCCTCGGTATAACCCTGCGCAGCGGCCATGTCCAGCATTGAATGCCTCGTGTCGCTACGGCGAGCGTTTGCGTGAGTGTCCGCGGGTCGAAGGCCCCTTTGTCCCGCCCCGCGACTCATGGACACCGCGGTGTTCGCCTTATGTACAGTAGTCAAGTCACTTGATCGTCTACATTCATTCGCAACCTCTGGTTGCAGCGAGTCGTGAGGAGCACCGCAAGAAAGCGGCAAGACCTCGGCTGCAGGCTACGGCTTGTTGTCGTATGAAAGTACACCGGCTGAAGAAAGAGTAACGGTTTAGCGGCAGCAAAGGGAGGTAATGACAATGAGGTATGGGACGTTATGACGTGTTCGGGGGGCTTTTTTTGTTGCGATGCACCTCTCAAGGTTCCGTTGCTGCTGTGATTAACTATTTCTCCGGTCTTTGAAATCGTTGGCGTTCAGGCCCACGCCAGTCCAGTTGCTCCTGTTGATGCTGACGGTATCGTTGATTCCACCTTGACATCTTTGCGTTCCCCAACAATCAACCCTTTCGTTTGAACGACGTTCTTCCCCTCCTCGCTCCGCATTTTGTGTGTTTCAGGTCCTTTGAAAAATTGATTGTAGGGGAGTTGAAAGACACCGGGTGCTGACAGACTTACCCTTCACGACATACCCGACTGCAGTGCCTTCGGACGCGGGCCTTCGGGTTGCCGACCTCGCAGCTGCTCCCACAGCAATTGCTACATGATACATCACCACATGCGGCATGACCCACGGGGAGTGGATCCAAAGGGTGCCCCGCATAATCATTGTTCCATGCGGCGTACGTACGAGAGTATGCATATCCTGATGAAAGACCCCCCCACGTGCCCTTGGCCGACCCTTCACACAGCTTGCGTTGTTTGTTATGGACCAGGCACCCTGCCGAAGGAGCCATCTCAGGCACGAACTATCTACCTCGGGGAGGTATGTGTGTTGCATTGCTACGTTCTTGGAGTTTTTCAATTCCCCACCCGTTGTTTTTGTGGGATTCGCCATTGTGTTTTGTCCGCTCCTGCTATGGCTCCACAAGACTCCGCTCTCTTTTACCTCACGGCGTGTGTTCTCCTGATGCTCGTCTCCGTGGATGGCGGCTCGTGTCATACCGTTGTCTGCAGCATCTCACCAACAAGTTTATGGCCTAGGCTTCAGTGTGAAATTCTCGTGAGGTTGGATTTAGACGACATGTGTACCATTTTTAGGGCACACATCAAAGCACGCAGGCAGGGCGTGAGTTCCGAGTTCCGTCCTTGTGTTGTACAGCCAAAGGGTCGGCAGTGCTCGCTCCCGATAGACTCTCCGTCCTTGCGGGGGCGGTGTTTGTGTTTACCAACGAATGCAGGAATCAGCTGCACGATGCCGCGGAGGTGGGCGATAGAATGGGTTGCGCTCATGCGTGCGGCTGCACGCGTTCCAAGCAAGAGGGCAAAGGAGAACCTACGTATTTGTACACCCCCGCCCGAATATTCACCCTTTTGCGGTCCATTATGCAGAAGGTTTACACCTACAGACTATTGACACCTTTGCGGCCCAAGGCTGAGGTTTACACCTACGGCACTTCGGGTGTCCGCTTGGAACCCAGGGTGGAATCGTGTAGCAAAGGGTGTACACAGCGGTTTTTGTTTGTCACGTTAGACACCAAGTACTTCAGTATGTCGTGGAAACACCACACCACACAACCGAGCTGGTTTCTCGGCGCTACGGTACGGAGCGATTTCTCCGCTGTCAACGTTGTTCTGCTCCACATCTCTCTCGCATTCCTACAGCAGCAGTGGTGGTTTTTTAGCCACCCTCACTAATGTCTGCGCGGAACATTTTATATACCCTTCGGCTCTTGAGCTTTTTAAATGCCCAGTCATGATTGTGCAAGATTGGCGCTGCAAGGTACATGATGTTGTTTGCTTCCCGAGTTGAATTTGTGTTGGTGTTTTTTGGTGCTGCGTTTTCATTGGGCTCGTTGGAGCCAACTTAACTTTAGCGGCGGCATCCTTGTTATCAACACCAGGCACTAAACAATATTTAAGGATGACCCGGGCCGTTTTCAGCGAGTTTTACAAGCCAAGTCCAATCGCCGTGGCGGTGACGCCTGCCTTTTTGCCACTCGGTTTCATGGTCATTAATCTCGATCGTGGGCGGTGTAATATGTCAGCGTGCAGCAGCATAGGACTACAGTATCGAGTCGCAACATTGGCGTGGCAGTAGGGGCCTCCTGCGAGCTGAACATTTCGCGTGCAGCAGTGGGAAAATGTGCCTGCTCTCCGATGTGACGGCGTGGCGTCAATGGGTGTTGGCTTCCGAAGAGATCGCCGTCTGCGCGAGGAGCACGGGTGGTGGCGGCACAACCAGCCTCGGTGTGTCGAGCACTGGGGGATGGAGATGGCGAGAAATGGAAGCCAGCTGCTGGAACCAAAGGCGCCGCTTTGCCTCCTGAGCTTTTTTGCTTTGCTCCTTTTAAGGAGAAACACGTGTGTTCGCGTAGGTGGAACCCGTTACCTCCGCCCCCAGGCACCTCTTGGACACGTGTAGATACCTCGAGACGTGCTGATGAGCACCTAGGTTGGGGAAGCAGAGAATCGGGCTTAACAAGACAGCAAGTTCTATGGTGTGGGCGCTGTTGCTACAGCCAGAGAAAGCTGCGAGCGTGTTGTAGGTGGTGTACATCCTCTGTTGCCGCACAACTCAGTTTGCTCAGCGCGTCCTGAGCTCGGTCGAGCGAAGAGTGTGTAGCTTCAGCGTTGGTTCTATTTTAGACCGTGCCTGTCTAACACTCTTGAAATAGTTTCCCTTCTTTCGCACACGCTCGCATTTTCACCGCAAGTGCTTGCCGGTGCGGGTGCCGCCCGCTACTCATCGCGCCGGCGTTGTTCGCCCTTTGTTTGTTCTTTCCTACGGCGGTGTTTGCCACTCGTGCTCCCGATGTCGACGCAGCCATGGTAGTGCCGCCCCCGCCCCCCTACACACATCCAACTCGTCACTCTCCTCCCCTGTGCATCTGTTTCGCTTCGCTCTTCCTTCTCTCAAGTGTCTCCTCATCCACACCGGCGGCAGCGACGAAGCAACACCAACCGACCGGGACATCCATCCCCTCCAGCCCACGCCTCCCTCTCTCTCCCTCTCGCCCGTGGACCATGAAGTCGAGTCTCGTCCTCCTCCCGCTGCGGCGGCGGCGGCGGCGGCTACCGCCGCTGTGGCTGCTGCTGCTGCTGCTGGGGCTAGCGTCGCTGGCGGGGCCGGCGGCGGCCAAGGTTACCCCGAACGGCGCCATGGTGTGGGACGGTAACGGGTGGATCGCGCTCTGGGACGACGACGAGGCTCCTCGCCCCCCACCGCCCAAGACAAGCTCCTGGAAGCGCTCGGACACGTCCGTCTTCGTCGGCGTGAGCTCCTTCCGCGACAAGCGCTGCCCGCAGACCCTGGTGAACTTCTTCAGCAAGGCCAAGTACCCCGAGAGGGTCACCGTCGGGGTCGTCCAGCAGAACGATCACGAGGACGTGGACTGCGTCGTGGAGTACTGCAAGATGATGGGGGGCCACGCGGAGGGCCCCCTGTGCCCGTACTTCGACAACATCAAGACGCTGAGGGTGGAGGCGAGGTGGGCGGCTGGCCCCTGCTACGGTCGGCACTTGCAGGTCCGTTTGTTGCGTGGGGGGCCGGTGGTTCGGTCGCAGGTTTGGTGTTGGAGAGTTATGCTGAACGGCGGGGCGGGGTACAGCAGTTGAAGGTTCGCGAAGGATTTGGTATGGTTTTGCTACGGCCGGCGCTTGCGGGTTCGTTGTTGTTGTTGGTGGTGGTGGTGGTGGCGGTGGTGGTGTGTGTCTGTGCGTGGGGGGCCGGTGGCCCGGCCGGAGGTTTGGTGTTTAGACTTGTGATGAACGAAGGGGCGGGGTACAGCCGTTGTAGGTTCGCGAAGGTTTTTGGTTGCGTTCCGTTGAGCTCGTGGCGAGTAAATGCATGGTGCGTTGCCGTCAAGGTGTGAGTTGTCGTACACCCCCTGGACTGGCTTCGAAGGGCCGATTGCCCGCACGCCCTATCATCAAGCAGGTCTTCTTGCCGTGGTGTTAGGAGGTGTGTCGGGAGCTGTGCCAGCTGTGAGACACAGATCTTGGGAGTGTAGTCGGGAGGACAGCGTGTCTTTGTATTCACTTGGAAACGAACCGGAACGGATCGAATCGTTGGAAGTCATCATTACAGCAGCAGCAGCAGCAGCAGCAGCCCGATCTCTTGCCAGATGTTGCTTTCACGCTCATCTTCTCTCCTTCTCGCGGTTGGCGGTTGGTCTCCTGTAAAATTTATTGCCTCTGGTTGATTGCTGGTTTGCCTTTGTCGTTTTTTTTTTCTTTCTCATGTTTTTTTTTTCACCTCGAAATCTTGCTGTGGTACGGTTGCCCCTCTTTCCACGGCTGCGGTGCGTGCCGCAGTCGTACATGCTGCGGGACGAGGAGTTCTGCATGCAGACGGACAGCCACATGGACGTGGTGCAGGACTGGGACGCGAAGCTCATGGCCATGTGGGGCCGCGTCAACAACGAGTACGGCATCCTCACGACGTACGTGCACAAGATCGAGCAGCTGCACGAAGGCTACGAGAACAAGAAGGAGGTGCCGCACCTCTGCCAGGTGCCGCAGTACCGGGGTTGTGGGTGTTGGAAGGAGTAGGGGCGGTGGTGACCGCTGCTGCCTTGCCTGTGCCTCTGCGTTCTTGCTTGCTTGTCCCTGTACGTAGATAACACCTTGATACAGTCTGTGGGACAGCAGTAGTGCATTATGGCCGAAGACGACACCGCAATTGAATATATAATAGGAAAGCGTGTTCGCGTCTTCAGCCCCGCTACTACTTGACTGACGTATCTTCATTGGTCGGCCGGCTAGCGCGGCCGCTGCCAATTGAAGAAATCACGCGCATGCGCTCGCGGGTACCGCCGTTCAGCGGCCTTAACCATGCCCCGTGCCTCTGCCTCCCGTCCTCTCCTCTCCCCTCTCCTTGCAACCGTGAACCAAAAAAAAAAAAACTTGCGCGGCGGACCAACTCCCGCGCGGGCCACAAAAATAATGGTACATCCCCGCACACGAAAAAAACAACAAAGCTTGGCTTCACGGAGACCGGAAACCACCCGAGGTACGTGCAGGCGAAGCTGGCGACCAAGCTGCCGTCCCCCAAGCTCACCAACACGTGGGCAGCAGGGCTTAGCCTGGCGAAGTGCCACGCCTGGAAGGCCTCGCCGTACGACCCGGGACTGCGCAAGGTGGGTGTGATGTATGTGTTTTTTGTGGCGGACTGACAGCAGTCTCTGACAAACATCACTTTCGGGATGTATCCGACCCTCTGTGTGTGATCTGTGGGGGGCGGACAGCAGCCTCTGGCATACATCACGTTGGGCTGTATCTGCTTGTGGCGGACGGACAGCAGTGTCAGACGAAAATCCTTTTGGCATTTGGTTTGTTGTGTAGGAGATGCCTCCTCTGTTGTAAAGTACTTAGCTGCAGGAGCCTAGCGACGTTGTGATGAATTGATGATCACCGACGGGATCTTGGTGCTGTCTCGGGATCAAGGTGTTTGAAACCGTACCGGGTGCTATTTGGCCTATTGCTCATGCAATGGTAGGGGAGAGGTGGTGGGGGAGTGCAGCTCGCATGTTTTTTTGCCCGTGGGACAAGCTTCGTGTTGTTCCGATAACATACAGCAGCAGCCGTGCACATACACTAGTGTGTTTGCGGTTGCTGGCGAAGGATCCATCTGTCCCTGGTGTGCTTAGGGCGTGTCTCTTCGTGTGCGTGCCTCATGGACCGCGCTTATTTGGCCCAGTTTGTTGGACCACATGATGAACGAAGAAAAGGAGAACTTGCCCTCTGTCTCTCAGCGTGCCAACAATGTCTTGACAATCGCCGCCGCCGATGTTTTTGCGTGTCCTCGTGCCTCTCTCGCCCCTTGGCCGTCGTCTGCGGTGTTTGTTTGTGTCTCTCGTGTCTCGTGTCTCGTCTTGTGTATCCGTTGAGAAGGTTTTCGACGGCGAGGAGTTCTCGATGCACGCGCGCCTGTGGACCAGGGGTTATGACACCTACACCCCGGACAAGAGCCTTGTCGGGCACGACTACAACAAGGTCAAGGAGGGCCCACAACCGTCCAGGTGGGGGTTGGGCATGTGGAGCCCGGGGGGGGGGGGTGGGG